GTAATATGGGATAAAATCAAATTACCTATCAGGGTTGGCCTCTGAGCTGAGGAAGAGCTGAGTTGTTCTGTTCGTCTTCATCACAGACAACAGGTGCTCACACAGGTTAGAGCTGCTGAACATGGAGAACATCTGGACCACGCTGTGGGTCAGAGTGTTGGGGAGGAGAGATAAAAACCACAGCAGCTAGAGTCAGACTGGCTGGAGCTAAATCATCTCAGCCTGGAAGTCGGTCGGTGAGCTTTCTTCGTCAGCAGCAGATAACTGAGCCGTTAAAATCCATTTCTGGGCTTCAAAGTCGGCTATTTTCTAAGTAAACTCGCTGAGTAAGAGGAGTGTTCTCAGTTTGTCCGAGGCAGAGGCGGTAACACTGCAGACGCTGATGCTAGTAGCATGGATGCTAGTAGCATGGATGCTAATGACTGTAAAGACATACTGGTTTTTCTCCTTGAAGCATCAACATGTGCCTCCTTTGTTGAAACACCTTCCTTCTGCATCGATCCTTCTCTTCCTGGACATTTTGGGATCATTTGTGGACGTTTATTTTCTCTTGTTACATTAATTAAACACAAATGTGGATACGCTGTGACCTAGTGGAGAAATACTGTCACTGCACTACTAACACCATCGCTATGCATGATGGGAAATGCAGTTTATAACCAATGTACACTAGCGGCATAGACCTATTTTAAGACACTTGGAGCTCTTGCGGGCCACATAAAATGAAGTGGCGGGCCACATCTTGCCCGCGGGCCTTGTGTCTGACACATGTGAACTACTCTATCAGTGTCCCAGCATAGCTGCAGCTACTATGAAGATCCTTATATCCTTGAGTTCAGTGGATAATTGAATGACTGAATGTGTTGAGAAGTGCCTTGGGGGGTTGTAGCAGGGGTGGGTCTAGAGGGGGGGCCTGGGGAGACACGGGCCCCCCTGTAAATAGTCTGGCCACCCCAAGACCTGAGACCGGAGCTTTTGTAGCTCTTTCTCTCTTGTGGCCAGATGATGAGAGTGAATGTGATGAGTGCCGTACATCAGTACTGCAGTTTTTGTCTTTTTTATTCTACCATTTTCTTCCTGCTGACATTTTAGGATTCATCTGTTTTTACTTCTCAGCAAATTAACAGAAGATTGTTACCTGAGCTGCACCGTTTCACAGAGTTGGTGTTTCTGGGCCCAAAACTCAGGCTTTTTGTGACTTTCTGAGCACAAAGCCGAGGATGACTTGTTAGATCTCTGCTCTGGTCTAGAACGATCAGGGATTTAGCCGTGATCCCCAGGATGCAGGACGATTTTAAATTCCTCCAGAGGCTGCAGCTTTGGCAGACTTACTTTAGCTGGTTATTATGGGCTGCCACAACAAACAAAAGGACCGTTAAATGTTACATCACTCTCCTGCTGCTGGATGCTGAGGTCAGAATCTCATCTCCACAGCATTTATTAGAAAAACATGTTGGTGAAATTTAGGCCAGCTGGCTTCCCAATGGGAGCGAGTGAATTATTGATTTATGTAGATATTATTTTTAGAGATTTCTGAGGATGTTTAAAAAAATAGAAGGTCCATTTTAGTAAATGATAAATGATAAATGACCCGCACTTGTATAGCGCCTCTCAGAGGAAGGACTCCAAAGCGCTTTACACTACAGTGTATCATTCATCCATTCACACACACATTCATACACTGATGGTGATGAGCTACGATGTAGCCACAGCTGCCCTGGGGCGCACTGACAGAGGTAGTACTTAGTCCAGAAACAGGCACGACCCATCTGGGGTGAGTGAACCCCGTTTATATGCTTTGTGAGTGGAAGTGAGTTTCAAGAGGGCTGCTTTTTAAATCCTAACTTCCTCTACTATACTAGAAGTTACCACTTCTTAGACTGAGATGTCTGAGAGACTTCCTCTACTATACTAGAAGTTACCACTTCGTAGGCTGAGACGTCTGAGAGACTTCCTCTATTATACTAGAAGTTACCACATCTTAGGCTGAGATGTCTGAGAGACTTCCTCTACTATACTAGAAGTTACCACTTCTTAGGCTGAGACGTCTGAGAGACTTCCTCTACTATACTAGAAGTTACCACTTCTTAGGCTGTGGAATCTGAGAGACTTCCTCTACTATACTAGAAGTTACCACTTCTTAGGCTGAGGCATCTGAGACTTCCTCTACTGTACTAGAAGTTACCACTTCTTAGGTGGAGGCATCTGAGAGACTTCCTCTACTATACTAGAACTTACCACTTCTTAGGCTGAAACGTCTGAGAGACTTCCTCTACTATACTAGAAGTTACCACTTCTTAGGCTGAGGAATATGAGAGATTTCCTCTACTATACTAGAAGTTACCACATCTTAGACTGAGATGTCTGAGAGACTTCCTCTACTATACTAGAAGTTACCACATCTTAGGCTGAGATGTCTGAGAGACTTCCTCTACTATACTAGAAGTTACCACTTCTTAGGCTGAGACGTCTGAGAGACTTCCTCTACTGTACTAGAAGTTACCACTTCTTAGGCTGAGGAATCTGAGAGACTTCCTCTACTATACTAGAAGTTACCACTTCTTAGGCTGAGGCATCTGAGACTTCCTCTACTATACTAGAAGTTACCACTTCTTAGGCTGAGGCATCTGAGACTTCCTCTACTGTACTAGAAGTTACCACTTCTTAGGTGGAGGCATCTGAGAGACTTCCTCTACTATACTAGAACTTACCACTTCTTAGGCTGAAACGTCTGAGAGACTTCCTCTACTATACTAGAAGTTACCACTTCTTAGGCTGAGGAATCTGAGAGACTTCCTCTACTATACTAGAAGTTACCACTTCTTAGGCTGAGGCATCTGAGACTTCCTCTACTATACTAGAAGTTACCACATCTTAGGCTGAGATGTCTGAGAGACTTCCTCTACTATACTAGAAGTTACCACTTCTTAGGCTGAGGCATCTGAGACTTCCTCTACTATACTAGAAGTTACCACATCTTAGGCTGAGATGTCTGAGAGACTTCCTCTACTATACTAGAAGTTACCACTTCTTAGGCTGAGGCATCTGAGACTTCCTCTACTATACTAGAAGTTACCACATCTTAGGCTGAGATGTCTGAGAGACTTCCTCTACTATACTAGAAGTTACCACTTCTTAGGCTGAGACGTCTGAGAGACTTCCTCTACTATACTAGAAGTTACCACTTCTTAGGCTGAGGAATCTGAGAGACTTCCTCTACTATACTAGAAGTTACCACTTCTTAGGCTGAAACGTCTGAGAGACTTCCTCTACTATACTAGAAGTTACCACTTCTTAGGCTGAGGAATCTGAGAGACTTCCTCTACTATACTAGAACTTACCACTTCTTAGGCTGAAACGTCTGAGAGACTTCCTCTACTATACTAGAAGTTACCACTTCTTAGGCTGAGGAATCTGAGAGACTTCCTCTACTATACTAGAAGTTACCACTTCTTAGGCTGAGGCATCTGAGACTTCCTCTACTATACTAGAAGTTACCACTTCTTAGGCTGAGACGTCTGAGAGACTTCCTCTACTATACTAGAAGTTACCACTTCTTAGGCTGAGACGTCTGAGAGACTTCCTCTACTATACTAGAAGTTACCACTTCTTAGGCTGAGGCATCTGAGAGACTTCCTCTACTATACTAGAAGTTACCACTTCTTAGGCTGAGACGTCTGAGCGACTTCCTCTACTATACTAGAAGTTACCACTTCTTAGGCTGAGACGTCTGAGAGACTTCCTCTACTATACTAGAAGTTACCACTTCTTAGGCTGAGACGTCTGAGAGACTTCCTCTACTATACTAGAAGTTACCACTTCTTAGGCTGAGACGTCTGAGAGACTTCCTCTACTATACTAGAAGTTACCACTTCTTAGGCTGAGACGTCTGAGAGACTTCCTATACTATACTAGAAGTTACCACTTCTTAGGCGGAGGAATCTGAGAGACTTCCTCTACTATACTAGAAGTTACCACTTCTTAGGGAGAGGCATCTGAGACTTCCTCTACTGTACTAGAAGTTACCACTTCTTAGGCTGAGGCATCTGAGACTTCCTCTACTGTACTAGAAGTTACCACTTCTTAGGCTGAGATGTCTGAGAGACTTCCTCTACTATACTAGAAGTTACCACTTCTTAGGCTGAGATGTCTGAGAGACCTCCTTGTCTGTGATGATCCTGAATCCCATCAGAAACCATAAACACCCACCAGTCAGGAGTTTAAAGGTCAGGGTGACCGCTTTAACAGCAAAGCTCCTTCTTTAACACAAAACCTATCGGGGTTACCATGGTTACACCTTCAGGTTTGAGAACTGGAATTGCTCTGCAGACCTGCTTGTTCTACAGAGACGCTTAATGTTTGTAAAAAGGAGAAGGTGTGATGTTTGTTCTGCGTTGTCTGTTAAACCTGGTAAAATAATCCAAATGGAGCTGAAACTAACGACTTCCAGAGACCACAGAGGAACACGAGCAAACCGAATCAAAATAAGTGATAAACGTGTCTTTTAAGTGCTCACCATTAGACCCAAAACCTCCTTGTTGATGTCTGACCATCTGGTGATTACGCCACTCTTAAACCGTTAGCCGCAGCTTCATCCCTTCCTTTGGTGAAGTTAAAGGTCAGCAGGGATAATTCTTGACTCAGACACAGTAGATCATTTTCTCTCAGGCAGAAAAACATGCAGATGACTTTTTAATCCAGTGTACCTGAAAGGAGCTGCTGCTAATCTTTCATTATTAGAAAACATGAAAAACACTATTTAACCTTCCCACTGCTCTACCCTGCTCAATGGTCAACTTTCCTCACTGGGTCACCCTTCAGGACAGTGGCAGGGTTAATATATTCAGCTCGACTATGGAGTCGTGGTTTCGTCTGGTCAAAAAAGCTTACATCAAAGTGATGATGGCACGTGTGGTGGAAAAAAGTTACCACACACACACACACACACACACACACACACACACACACCGCCCTTGAACCCCATTCTTCTTGCTCTGCAGACTATGCAAGCGGGGCGATGCCCGACAGATGAGCTATCGCTGACTAACTGCGCTGTGGTGAACGAGAAGGATCTTCAGTCAGGACAGTGAGTAATCATCTCACACACACACACACACACACACACACACACACACACACACACACACACACACACACACACACACACACACACACACACACACACACACACACACACACACACACACACACACACACACACAGTTGTGTGTATTTATTCCCTCTCATGCTGTTATTGATGCATTTGGACATTCTGAATCCCAGAAGAAGCTGCTGTAGGTCTTTTTCTGCTGCCATGGTAACGCCACACACGTCATCTTTACTTTTCTATATTTAAGACCGACATCTACTTTCTCAAATTACAAATCTATGATATTATTATAATTTGGGCACAATTTAGATTTGATGACTAACATCATTATTGTGAAAGGGGATCGTAGGAGGAGGAAGGAAAACAACATATTATTATTATTATTATTATTATTATTATTATTAGACACGGATATGAAGAAATAAGCCAGTCACAGCTGTTGTCTCTGCCTGCTGAAAGCTGCACTGGTCCAGCGTTAGTTCTGATGAAACAGCAGTTTTAGTAAAAGCATCACCGTTTCAGAACCAACATCTTGTATTTAACTGTTTTCATTTATGCCATGTTTAAGTCATCGTTTCAGAACCAACATCTGGTATTTAACTGTTTTCATTTATACCATGTTTAAGTCAGGGTTTCAGAACCAACATCTGGTATTTAACTGTTTTCATTTATACCATGTCTAAGTCAGGGTTTCAGAACCAACATCTGGTATTTAACTGTTTTCATTTATACCATGTTTAAGTCAGCGTTTCAGAAGCAACATCTTGTATTTAACTGTTTTCATTTATACCATGTTTAAGTCAGCGTTTCAGAACCAACATCTCGTATTTAACTGTTTTCATTTATACCATGTTTAAGTCAGCGTTTCAGAAGCAACATCTTGTATTTAACTGTTTTCATTTATACCATGTTTAAGTCAGCGTTTCAGAACCAACATCTCGTATTTAACTGTTTTCATTTATACCATGTTTAAGTCAGCGTTTCAGAAGCAACATCTCGTATTTAACTGTTTTCATTTATACCATGTTTAAGTCAGCGTTTCAGAAGCAACATCTCGTATTTAACTGTTTTCATTTATACCATGTTTAAGTCAGCGTTTCAGAAGCAACATCTCGTATTTAACTGTTTTCATTTATGCCATGTTTAAGTCAGCGTTTCAGAACCAACATCTTGTATTTAACTGTTTTCATTTATACCATGTTTAAGTCAGCGTTTCAGAACCAACATCTTGTATTTAACTGTTTTCATTTATACCATGTTTAAGTCAGCGTTTCAGAACCAACATCTCGTATTTAACTGTTTTCATTTATACCATGTTTAAGTCAGCGTTTCAGAACCAACATCTGGTATTTAACTGTTTTCATTTATACCATGTTTAAGTCAGCGTTTCAGAACCAACATCTTGTATTTAACTGTTTTCATTTATACCATGTTTAAGTCAGCGTTTCAGAAGCAACATCTCGTATTTAACTGTTTTCATTTATACCATGTTTAAGTCAGCGTTTCAGAACCAACATCTCGTATTTAACTGTTTTCATTTATACCATGTTTAAGTCAGGGTTTCAGAACCAACATCTGGTATTTAACTGTTTTCATTTATACCATGTTTAAGTCAGCGTTTCAGAACCAACATCTTGTATTTAACTGTTTTCATTTATACCATGTTTAAGTCAGCGTTTCAGAAGCAACATCTCGTATTTAACTGTTTTCATTTATACCATGTTTAAGTCAGCGTTTCAGAACCAACATCTCGTATTTAACTGTTTTCATTTATGCCATGTTTAAGTCAGCGTTTCAGAACCAACATCTCGTATTTAACTGTTTTCATTTATACCATGTTTAAGTCAGGGTTTCAGAACCAACATCTTGTATTTAACTGTTTTCATTTATACCATGTTTAAGTCAGCGTTTCAGAACCAACATCTTGTATTTAACTGTTTTCATTTATACCATGTTTAAGTCAGCGTTTCAGAAGCAACATCTCGTATTTAACTGTTTTCATTTATACCATGTTTAAGTCAGCGTTTCAGAACCAACATCTTGTATTTAACTGTTTTCATTTATGCCATGTTTAAGTCAGCGTTTCAGAACCAACATCTTGTATTTAACTGTTTTCATTTATGCCATGTTTAAGTCAGGGTTTCAGAACCAACATCTGGTATTTAACTGTTTTCATTTATACCATGTTTAAGTCAGCGTTTCAGAAGCAACATCTTGTATTTAACTGTTTTCATTTATACCATGTCTAAGTCAGGGTTTCAGAACCAACATCTGGTATTTAACTGTTTTCATTTATACCATGTTTAAGTCAGCGTTTCAGAAGCAACATCTTGTATTTAACTGTTTTCATTTATACCATGTTTAAGTCAGCGTTTCAGAAGCAACATCTCGTATTTAACTGTTTTCATTTATACCATGTTTAAGTCAGCGTTTCAGAAGCAACATCTCGTATTTAACTGTTTTCATTTATGCCATGTTTAAGTCAGCGTTTCAGAACCAACATCTTGTATTTAACTGTTTTCATTTATACCATGTTTAAGTCAGCGTTTCAGAAGCAACATCTCGTATTTAACTGTTTTCATTTATGCCATGTTTAAGTCAGCGTTTCAGAACCAACATCTTGTATTTAACTGTTTTCATTTATACCATGTTTAAGTCAGCGTTTCAGAACCAACATCTTGTATTTAACTGTTTTCATTTATGCCATGTTTAAGTCAGCGTTTCAGAACCAACATCTTGTATTTAACTGTTTTCATTTATGCCATGTTTAAGTCAGCGTTTCAGAAGCAACATCTTGTATTTAACTGTTTTCATTTATGCCATGTTTAAGTCATCGTTTCAGAACCAACATCTTGTATTTAACTGTTTTCATTTATGCCATGTTTAAGTCAGCGTTTCAGAAGCAACATCTTGTATTTAACTGTTTTCATTTATACCATGTTTAAGTCAGCGTTTCAGAAGCAACATCTTGTATTTAACTGTTTTCATTTATGCCATGTTTAAGTCAGCATTTCAGAAGCAACATCTTGTATTTAACTGTTTTCATTTATACCATGTCTAAGTCAGCGTTTCAGAACCAACATCTTGTATTTAACTGTTTTCATTTATACCATGTCTAAGTCAGCGTTTCAGAACCAACATCTTGTATTTAACTGTTTTCATTTATGCCATGTCTAAGTCAGCGTTTAAGAAGCAACATCTTGTATTTAACTGTTTTCATTTATGCCATGTTTAAGTCAGCGTTTCAGAACCAACATCTTGTATTTAACTGTTTTCATTTATACCATGTTTAAGTCAGCGTTTCAGAACCAACATCTTGTATTTAACTGTTTTCATTTATACCATGTCTAAGTCAGCGTTTCAGAACCAACATCTTGTATTTAACTGTTTTCATTTATGCCATGTCTAAGTCAGCGTTTCAGAAGCAACATCTTGTATTCAACTGTTTTCATTTATGCCATGTTTAAGTCAGCGTTTCAGAACCAACATCTTGTATTTAACTGTTTTCATTTATACCATGTTTAAGTCAGCGTTTCAGAAGCAACATCTTGTATTTAACTGTTTTCATTTATGCCATGTCTAAGTCAGCGTTTCAGAAGCAACATCTTGTATTTAACTGTTTTCATTTATGCCATGTTTAAGTCAGCGTTTCAGAAGCAACATCTTGTATTTAACTGTTTTCATTTATGCCATGTTTAAGTCAGCGTTTCAGAAGCAACATCTTGTATTTAACTGTTTTCATTTATACCATGTCTAAGTCAGCGTTTCAGAAGCAACATCTTGTATTTAACTGTTTTCATTTATACCATGTCTAAGTCAGCGTTTCAGAAGCAACATCTCGTATTTAACTGTTTTCATTTATACCATGTTTAAGTCAGCGTTTCAGAACCAACATCTTGTATTTAACTGTTTTCATTTATGCCATGTTTAAGTCAGCGTTTCAGAACCAACATCTGGTATTTAACTGTTTTCATTTATACCATGTTTAAGTCAGCGTTTCAGAACCAACATCTTGTATTTAACTGTTTTCATTTATGCCATGTTTAAGTCAGCGTTTCAGAAGCAACATCTTGTATTTAACTGTTTTCATTTATGCCATGTTTAAGTCAGCGTTTCAGAAGCAACATCTTGTATTTAACTGTTTTCATTTATGCCATGTTTAAGTCAGCGTTTCAGAACCAACATCTTGTATTTAACTGTTTTCATTTATACCATGTTTAAGTCAGCGTTTCAGAACCAACATCTTGTATTTAACTGTTTTCATTTATACCATGTCTAAGTCAGCGTTTCAGAACCAACATCTTGTATTTAACTGTTTTCATTTATACCATGTTTAAGTCAGCGTTTCAGAACCAACATCTTGTATTTAACTGTTTTCATTTATGCCATGTTTAAGTCAGCGTTTCAGAACCAACATCTTGTATTTAACTGTTTTCATTTATACCATGTTTAAGTCAGCGTTTCAGAAGCAACATCTTGTATTTAACTGTTTTCATTTATACCATGTCTAAGTCAGCGTTTCAGAACCAACATCTTGTATTTAACTGTTTTCATTTATACCATGTTTAAGTCAGCGTTTCAGAACCAACATCTTGTATTTAACTGTTTTCATTTATGCCATGTTTAAGTCAGCGTTTCAGAACCAACATCTTGTATTTAACTGTTTTCATTTATACCATGTTTAAGTCAGCGTTTCAGAAGCAACATCTTGTATTTAACTGTTTTCATTTATACCATGTTTAAGTCAGCGTTTCAGAAGCAACATCTTGTATTTAACTGTTTTCATTTATACCATGTTTAAGTCAGCGTTTCAGAACCAACATCTTGTATTTAACTGTTTTCATTTATGCCATGTTTAAGTCAGCGTTTCAGAACCAACATCTTGTATTTAACTGTTTTCATTTATACCATGTTTAAGTCAGCGTTTCAGAACCAACATCTTGTATTTAACTGTTTTCATTTATACCATGTCTATG